ATATATATATATATATATATATATATATATATATATATATATATATATATATATATATATGACATTCCTGGGGGGAAAAAACCCTGCCAGCCCTGAAGAGAAATAATACACAGTAAAACAGTAAAAACACACAACAGATATTTGCGATTTAGTCTCTTTACAAATCATCGTTTCAGATACATGTGTCGATTGGATCATATGCTGTTTTTACTGAGGAATAAAAACAAGACTGTCCTTTTTTTGGTGATAACTTGTACCTCTGTACCATGAACTCCATCAAAACAAACCAAAAAATGAATAAAAACAGCGTTAAACAAAAATGAGTCTGCCGCTTTCTGCAACTCCAAGACAACAGTCTACAACAGTTACCTTCGTAGTTGTAGAAACAGAGGACGAAATTTCTTCCGGTTTCTCATTTAAGTGGTAAATCTTTCACCATGACCCACACACACACACACACACACACACACTCTCTCTCTCTCTCTCTCTCTCTAAGTCCTGCTTTTTGCCGTTCCCTCACTAGCTCGTGTCAGGTCAGTCGGACGAGGACGTTAATGCTTTCTGACAGCTTGTCAGTCACAGCAGTGGTGCTCTCTAGTTCACTGTGATGTCACTTCACAACTTTTTTGTGAGATACGCTTGAAGCACAAAAGCGTTACTACAGCCCGGACACATAAGTGATAAAAAATAAGAGAACATAATGAGAAATCAGGTTTTTAATGTCACTTGTGCTAGGATGCACATTTACGATTAATGAAAAATGAGGGCCAAAGGTCCTTCATAAAACACCCGGAGTCATGCAGTTCTAGAAAAACAATCATCGCCGGGCTGGTGTGAATGTGAAGCTGAGTGTTTTTCCCTATAACAGCACACCCTGAAGTGTTTTATTCCTCTTTTATTCCTCTTTTATTCCATTCACTCCCCCATTCCCGCCCATGTTCAGGAAGCTCCGCCCTCGGGATCTACGGTGACCCACAGTGTGTGTATAAAATGACTGACAGGAGGCCCACCCAAACCAAACAAGCATGACCGGAAGTCAGTTTTCCAACCGGGTTTTCTCAGCAACTTTATAAACTTTTGCTAGGGTCAAGGCTTAAAGGTGTATTAGGTGAGATCTGTGAAGAATAGGCCTCTAAAAGGTTGAATGGGTGAGTTGAATAAGATTTGAATGTTGTGCGTACTCACTGAGCCCGCCCCCATTTCCACCCATGTACACAAAGCTCCGCCCCCAAAACTTCAACTAAAGTTAGCATGCTAACTAGAGTTACAATTAGCAAGGACCGGCATGACATCACTTTCGAGCGCACTCAAAGATAAGCTACAACTCATATAAACATATACAAATGCAAAAGTAATGATTTATGAGGATGTGAAGAGGAGTTGGGGGTGTGTCTATAAGATGACTGACAAGAGGCCAATCCAAATGCAAACACTAAAGACCGGAAGGCAGATTCCCACGCCTGCTACGTCATACACTTGTTCTGAGAGAATGGCTTAAACTCTTACTTTTTATCATTTCTACATCATTTTCCACGTTATTTGTACTAGAAAAAAATTTAAAAATATTGACTCCTACACCTTTAATCCATTGCTCTTTAACATGTTCAACTCCCAGGTTATTTGTACAAGTAAGGAATAAAAAATTTCCACTTTTAAAGAACGACACGCCATCCTTTATATCTGTTTATAGTTACATTTAATGTTGTGGAAGGTACCTGAAACAACTTCATTCCTGTTCTCGGGTACCTGAGACAGTCCTTCCCTCACCAGCCTGGTTTTTTCTCTCTCAAAGTTATCAAGACAAAAAAAAAAAAAAAAAAAGCAGCTTTTCATGTTACTGACAAACAGCAGCGCACAAACTCCTCTGTCCTGAAGACAGTGCTGACACTGGAGACTCCTTCCCTACTTAAATAAACATCTCCTCACAGCCACCATTAAGGAATGAGAAGATCAACGAGTATGTGCTTTTCTTTGTTAAATAACGACATTTTTTAAAAAAAAGAAATCCTTACATTATTTTCAGCGTCCTCCATACAAGTGAATTTTGCTGTTACTATAGAAACGATAACGTATCTGGGACAAGTGCATGAATATAAACCTGTGATTTGGCCTCAAAGCTGGAACGACTGTCTGAGCTGCCGTTAGAGAAAATTAATCAACGAGAATTCAACAACGCTTTATGTCCTAAGATTTTAGTGTCGATTAGTGCCTCATGACAGATGTTTTCCTCACACTGGAAAGAAACCACAGAGGTCACCGAGGTGCAACCAGGTTACAAGAGTGCATCCATCTTTTAAGACAACAACAAACAAACAAAGCTTTATTAGTTCATGCACAGAGTTTGGGTGCAACTTAAAAAAAAAAAAAAAAAAAAAACAGATTGGTGTCTTGCACACGATGTAATAAAGAGTCTGGCAGCTGCACGCGCTCTCTAGCGGCCAGCGCGTGCCACTTTCCCCCCCAATTCCTCAGCTGATAAATGCACAATCTCAACATCCTGGTTGATCAGGGGGTCACGAACTGAGCACAGGGTTACGATCCTGGTTTGCGAGCATGAACACAGAAGAGCATGCACAGTCCGTGAGGGAGAAAGAAATGTGCATGCTGTTTTAAATCCAGGTGCAAAACTGACTGATTTGATCGCGTGCAATAATGCAATGCAATCATGCAATGCAATCATGCAGTGCAAAGAAAACAAAACTTACTCAAAATACAGCGCGAGGTGATGCGAAAGTTGCCAACAAAAACAAAAACAAACAGAAGTTGTGCATGTGTTTAAGAAGAGAAACGTTAGTGCTAACGTTAGATAGCGCTGTAGCTCAAGCAGCAAGAGGAGGAGGAAGAGGAGGAGGAGGAGGAGGGACGGAGAGCTGGAAGCCCTGAGTGTGTGGCTCGTCTGATCCGACTGACCCTTGGGTTTTTTTTTTTTTTTTAATCGCGGCTCCATTTCATTTCTCGGGTACCTTCTCTTTTTTTCCCCTTCTTTCCCCCTTCTCTGTCTCTCTCTGAGGCGCGCGCGCAAGAAGACAACTCGCATAGGGTTTAAATAAAAACAGAAACGCCGTCGCGCGAGGCGCGTGCGTTAACGGAAAAGCGCGACACACACACTCACTCACTCACACACACACACACACACACTCACAACAGCGTTAACGTAACGGCCGCAACCTTTAGGCGGAATGGGACCTTTATGTGGCTGTTTAAAGGCAGCCGTTAGAGCTCAACAACATGGCTGCCCTAGCACAGACCTTAAAACCAGGGGGGAGTGAAATAAAGCTGCGCCGCTGCCTGGCTTTTTCCGCTTTCACCTCTATAGCCCCTCTTTAAAAAAAAAAAGAAAGAAAGAAAAGAAAGAGAAAAATGAGAGCGAGAGGAAAAAACAAGCGGACTCACGCGAAGGAAGGCGCTTCGGTTGCTCCTGTTTCCTCCTGGGCATTTTAAAAAAATAAAAATAAAAAAAAACCTTCTTCTTCTTGATCTTCTTGGTCTTCTTCGTCTTTCACATTCTTCTTCTTCTCCTGCTTGTTCTCAGGCGCGAGAAGCGAAAAGGTCCTTCGCCATGGAAATGTGGCGCGGGAGCGAGCTCGATGGCGGGGGGACTCGCCGCGTGCACCTGGCCGTCTTCGCTTCGCTCCGAGAGTGTGTGTGTGTGTGTGTGTGTGTGTGTTGGGAGCGGTACAGCAGGAGGAGGTGCTGTTGTTGTAGTCGCCGTGTCTTGGCTATGGCCGCTCTCTCCCTCTCTGAGAGAGAGAGAGTGAGTGTGAGTGAGTGTGTGTGTGTGTGTGTGTGTGTCTCGAGCCCCTAACTAACACTAATGCAGGGATCAAAGGGCAGCAACAGCAGAGCGAGAGCGAGCGGGCGCGGGCGGGCGGCCGGGCGCGCGCACGCACGCGA